CGACGGTCGGGCCAATGCCCCGCGCCGACGGAGAGAGGACTTGCCGGGCCGGGGCAGCGCACGGGGAAGTTCCCCCAGTGCGGACGCCGTGGCAGACTCCTTGCAGCGCAGCAGGAAGTGCGAGAGCCCCCACCCCAGCATGCCAGGCCCAGCTCACAGCAGGCCCACCACGTGGACAGGTTCTGCCCTCCCCCGACCGAGGCGCTCGTCACACGGCCCACGGGGTTCGCTGACACTAATTCGGCAATTTCCACAACACACGGCCGCCCGCAGGCTTGCTAGACTCCTGGCCCGAGCTCTCGAGTCCCCCCCTTCCCCTCGCACTAGCTGCAGCGCTGGATCATGAGGGCCCTTTAGGCAGCTTTGGGAAGCCACCTCTTGCTGTGCGAACCCAGATGCTCAGGCTGAAGGCAAACGGCACAACAGGGATCCAGCCCAGCACCCATCTGCCCCCCCGCTCTCTGGCTCTCCAGCTGTTCAGCCAGACGTGCTCTGCCCCAGGAGACTCCTCGGGAACTGGCCAGGCCTGAGCAAAGCGGGTTGGGGGGGGGGGGGGGGGAGAGAAGTTTCCTGGCTTTAATTCACTACTTGGAACTGCCTCGTTCTGGAGCGGGCCCCCTCCAATGAGGACGCGAAACATTCCTCTTTCGCCCTCTTGGCTACACGCGCCTCTCGCTCCGGAGACGCCACGTCCTCTCTCGCCGGAGACACCGTCCCCCGGGGGACACCAGAACGCGGGGCAGAGGGGGTCACTAGCTGGCCTCCTCCCCCTCCAAAGCCCATTAACCCCCCACTCTCCGGCAGAGAGTGTCTCCCCGAGCTAAAACCAGGGAGAGGGTTGAACGGGCTCAGAAGCTCCCAGGCGGCCTCCAGCGCGAGCGGATTGCCCCGGCGTACAGAGGGGAGAAGGCCATGGCTACTGCAGAGAGAAAGTATCCCCCTATGCAGGCAGGGGGACGGGTGTCAGCACAGGGGCAGGAAGAAGACACGGAAAGGGAGGCGCGGCAGCGGCACGTGGGTAGTAAGTCCCTAGCCACGCACTCACCCAGCGCCCTCTGGCCCGGGCAGCCGGCTGCACAGAAAGGAGAGCACCGATGGAGAGCTCCGTTCCCCACCGGCGGACGGGCCAGTTGTCTTCCAACCAGCCACATGCGGCAGGAAGATCTCGACAGCCAGTCACTCAAGGGGGACCTTCCCCCGTGCGCCGTGGCCAGAGACGTCCCGTGGCTGCCGGCGGGTGGGGAGCAGAGCGAGGCCCAGGCGCCAGCAGCGTTACTGAGCACGCTCACATGCTCGGGACGAGCCAAGCAGCCGATCTGGGGTGGGGCGGGGGCGTACGGTGAGGGCGGACACAGCACGGTGCCACTGCCATAGGCCCCGGGGAGGACCCGGGAAGGAAGCTGGGATGCCCTCGAAGAGATGCGCCTGGCACAGCAGAAGCAGCCACAAAGTAGCAGCAGGTGGGTCTGGGGCCATGCAATTACCCCTGCCTCCCTGTCGGGTCTAGTGCTCCATCCCCGGACTAATCCTCCCCCACCCCAGGCGACAGGGCCTGCTCTCCTGGCTGGGTCGCTCTGAGCGGAAGAGTCTGATCCCTGAGCCCCTTGCCCCTCGAAGAGATGCGCCTGGCACAGCAGAAGCAGCCACAAAGTAGCAGCAGGTGGGTCTGGGGCCATGCAATTACCCCTGCCTCCCTGTCGGGTCTAGTGCTCCATCCCCGGACTAATCCTCCCCCACCCCAGGCGACAGGGCCTGCTCTCCTGGCTGGGTCGCTCTGAGCGGAAGAGTCTGATCCCTGAGCCCCTTGCCGGAGGACGCGGGGAAGACCGGGACTGAAACGGGGTTCAGAGAAGAGCCGGACAGATCCTGGCTGCCAGCCAGGATGGGCAGGGATGGTCCCGGGCCTCTGTCTGTCTGGAGGTGGGCGACAGGGGAGGGATCCCGTGAGGGTT